TTTAATTGAATCTTGTGCTGCTGTGTCGTGTAAGTAATATGATTTTTTTCATTTAGAGATTGTGTGTAAATGAAAAAAATCATATTACTTACACGACACAGCAGCACAAGATTCAATTAAATCGCGGCACTGACGGCCATTTTGTGGACACTTCCGCCAGTTGTCCAGTCTCTATCTTCTAGGGTCTCTACCCATGTTCAGTTGTTCGCGCCATCTATTACAATTTGGAACTAAGTGTGTTCTCATGTCATACCCTTTCCCCCTTCTTCCTGCATCTTCAGTTCAAATTTCAGGTCATTCTGCACAGTTGTTGTTTAATTACAGCATTTTGAAAGTTAAACTTTAATTATAATCACCCTGTATAATATATAATTAATAATTTCACCTGAGAGAGGCGGGCTTTAATCGGATTATTGGATACATTAATTTTGCAATTTTGTCTGAAGACTGAATTAATTAACATTAAAATTACTTTTAAAAATGTGCAACAGTGATTATAATTGATTGCAATATCCGTAATGTATAACGTTTGACTTTGACGATAATTGTTTTCTACAATCTCTCGCTTCCCTTTTCTCTACCGGTTCTATCCTAACATCCGAACAATTGTATGTATATTTATCTTTGTTTAAATAGTGAAAATGTAGAAGATACAACATTACTAACGATTGCTAAAACCGAATATATTGGATATATTGTTTGACTTGAACTTGGGAAATCAGTTGAATCAAGGAAAAACGTTCCCCCGCCTTTCAGAACAAGGCACGTGGAGGACGCGACGGCGGTCGCTCGTATCCACGTGTGTACACGAGTCGCCAAGTCAAGAAGACGTTACGCGTTCGCCGATTAGCGGCGACTTGACCCAACGTAAGGTGGCTCGTGCTTTTAGCCGTGCTTGCCGCGTAGTGATTTAGAGACGTAGACCGTAATGACGGACGTCACAGACACAGACGGGCGGTAGCTCCGTCATGTTTCTTGCCTTTCCAGAGGGGCAAGGGAAAGAGTGAGAGAAAGGCAAGGAAAAGGGGGCGAACACTCCCTCGGGGATTAGAACGAGGGTGCGGGAGGCGCACGCCATGGCACGGGCCGGTCATCGACGTCATGCGACGTAGCTCGTAACGAGGAATCGGGGGGGGGATCTGCCCCGAGGCACGGGAGAGTCGCCTTGAGACGGGAAGCGAGGAAGCGGCCCGGTAGCGATGTACGCCGCGGCGGGTGGTGCGAGCATCGCCAATCGGAGGAAGCAGAAGCGGCTGCAGCTCAACAAGCAGGCGCCGGTGAACGTTGTCCCGTCAAGACTGAAGACCGGCCTACCGCCTGGCGCGCGTCACCACCAGCAGCACTACCAGCACCATCAGCACCAGCACCAACACCAGCATCAGCATCAGCACCAGCACCAGCACCAACACCAGCACCAGCACCAGCACCAGCATCATCAGCACCACCACCACCACCCGACCAAGCTCGCCCGTCCGCACCAAGCCGCATCAGCGGGACAGCAGGCCCCGCGGGCGCAGCAGCATCACGCGACGTCAACGTCGTCGTCGTCCGCCGCGTTCCACCCGGTCGTCGACGATCGGCGCCGTCGCGGCGACCACCACAGGTCCCAGCAGGTCGCCCCGGTCTCGCCGATCCACTTCCCGATCTCGCCGCCCCCGCTCTCCCTCGAGTCCTCGGCGTCCGCCACCACCTTCCCGGCCAACAAGTCCAGCAACTTTCCCTTCCCGCCGCCCTCGATCCTCGATCTCCGAGTCTCGCCTCCTACGTCGGAGCTACAGGTGGGTAACATCGTCGAGCACACATACATACACTCTTTTTCTTTCTTCTCATAGTCTCTTCCGGGCTCACGCTGTTTTTTAGCCGCTCTCTTCTTTCCTCTATATCTCACCCGAGTCACCGTCACGACCTTCCGTGTCTCTTCATGTATAGTTGACGCGTACTTATCACAGAAATCATGCAAAGCGAGATAAATGCGCCCGCCCCCGCAATGTGCGCATCAGGCAGAGAGGATCCGGTTCGTCGGATAACAAAAACATTGTGAATGTATTTTAGAAATAGTCACAACGCCCGCTTGCATCATTTTTGCCCCTTTTCAAACTCTCAACTCTGCGGAGACTTTGTTATTATATTATTTATCAAGATCGAGATAGTAAGAATTTTCAGACAGACACGTTTTCTCTCGCCGCAACTTTCGACGAGGGAAAGTTGATTTTTGATTTTTCTCGGTTTCGCGCGTCCGGATACTCGTTGACCGAGAAATTGGATCATCTCTGCCGAGTGCGAGCATTGACGAGTTAGACTAATGAGAATTACAAGCTCACTTCTCTATCGCTTTAGCCGCGACTCACCCTCGCTCAGAGCGCATACGCTTCCTACGATCGCACCACGTATCTCTTTTGCCGGCACCTCGTGCAACGTTGTACAGCAAATAGCATCGATCGGCTGTCTGGTGGCGTGTAACACGCGATAAACCCGCCGAGTGGCGTAAGAGAGGCGACAGATTCTCACCGTGCCCGAATATCCCTCCAGGCCCCGCAGGTCTCGGACTGTAAAGGCTCGTAATGTAATTTCAGTATAGCGTGAAACATGCCTCCCGCACGATTGACATCGGCGAGAACGAGCGGCGATCGATGCCGATGGCGAGTATAGCGCGACGTTAGACCGGTGTCGATCGCTGATGGAACTTTGAGGTGGACCGGTCCGGTCGTTTCTTCGCATCGTGTCCGGGGAAAGGAGAGGAAAGAAAACGATCCGGGGCTTCGGGATCTCGATCGATAGGGTGCACGCAAATGAATAAGCGGAATGCAGGCCGCTCTATTACTTAGACGAGACAAACAGCGGTTACGGGGGGGTAAGGCGGTGAATTTTAGAGAATTACCTTCCAATTTCGCCACCAGACTCATTCCGCCGCTACCACGGTATCCCCCACGATCGTACGTTTACGGGGTAAGTATCAAAAGAGTCTCACGGCAAAAGCGATCTCGATTCCTACGCGCGAACACGCCGCGCGGAGACAACTTTTTCTTCAAATTTGCCTGAAAATTGTGTAATCGTGAGACAGCGTGGCATGTTGAAGAATTTTATCAACAATTTTACCACATGGCATGTTGAAGAATTTTACCACACATTTTACTGGTAAAATTTCAAAATACTCACATAAAAATCAAATGTCAAAAGCGAGCTCGATTTCTACGCGCAAACGACGCAGGGAGAGAATTTCTTCTTAAAGTTTGCCTGAAAATTATGTAATCGTGAGACAACGTGGCATTTTGAAGAATTTTATGAAATTTTACCACACATTTTACTGGTAAAATTTCAAAATACTCATATAAAAATCAAATGTCAAAAGCGAGCTCGATTTCTACGCGCAAACGACGCAGGGAGAGAATTTCTTCTTAAAGTTTACCTGAAAATTATGTAATTATGAGACAACGTGGTATTTTGAAGAATTTTATGAAAATTTATTACACATTTTACTGGTAAAATGTATAGTAAAATTTCGAAAAACTCATGAAACTCAAATATCGAAAGAATTTCACGGCAAAAGCGATCTCGATTCCTATGCGCGAACGCCGCACGGAGAGAATTTTCTAAAATTAATCGTGGGACGTGGCATTTTGAAGAATTTAATGAGAATTTGTTAAAATTTTACCAGTAAAATGTATGGCAAAATTTCAAGAAATTGTCATAAAATTCCTCGAAATGCCATGTGTGCCACGACATTACACGATTTTTTAGGGTTTTTAAAAGAAAATTCTCTCCGTGTGTAAATTCGCGCGTCGCGCGGTTCCCGGGGCACTGACGTCCGGAACCGAACTTGTTATGAGCAAAAAACCAAAGTAGAGACCGTGAAAGCACCGTCAGATCCGCGCCTACCTCGTTGATTGGCATTTCCTCGGATCGACCAAGCAATCTCTAGGTGAGCGTAACGAACGTGTCAGTCGCTCGCCAGGTAGATGACGCATTCTTTTTGCCACACGCATCGGCCTGTGTTCCGAATTCTCTTTCATCGATAAAGGATTGTCTGTAAAAGATCCTTGAGCCAATAAGAACCCTGCAAAATTTTAGTGGCACTTTTACCGATGAAACAGGATTCGGAATGTGGACCGTCATCTCTGAAGCAACTTAATATATGCCATTCATTTCACGTAAGACGCATGTCAACGTTCGAGTGAGCCGCAAAAGAGGATAGGTCCTACACGTGTTTATTGGCGAATCTAGGATGCTGCGGATACACAATAGTTTCGCGGGTTTTTTGCCGCAGAGTTCAAAGTAGTTTGCAAAGTACGAGAGAAGTATAGAGGAAAAACGAACCGAATCGTTTGAGAGAGAGCACGACGACTCGATGCGTTAACGGGAGATGATGCGATTCGCAGCACCGGTCTCGATCTCGGGCTCCGTGACGGTCCATACGTCTGAGAGTTACGTATTTCAGTGCGGCGGTCAGGGACCTGGCGGCAAGGCAGCGTGGCAGGGATGCAACAGACCTTCGCCCCTTCCCTTATCTCCCACGTCGCCCGGTTATCGCGCGGATGGCTACAGGACGAAGCAGTGCGAGGCGCATCGGCGATGGATGAAAAGAAACAGGGTAACTTTAGCAGAAATTGGCGCGTAACGTTAAAGAGAGATGAAGGGGATATCGGAGACTTGCGTTAGAAATTAGATCGAGAAAGTAAAAGGTTCGTATTCCGAGGGCTCGATCACGAATCCTCTCCTCTAGCGCGAACTCGTGAAAAGTGAAAGATCTCGTTCAAGAATTCAATATTCGTCAATGACATTTTTCACTTTAACACGAGTTCGCGCTAGAGGGAAAGATTCACGATCGAGCCCCCGAATCCTCTTTTCGATAAAATTGCCAGCAAAAGACCTTTCCAGCCAATAAGAATCCTTCGAAAGCAATTTTAGTGGCAGTTTTATCGGCAGGAAAAAAAAGAAAAGGATTCGGAATGTAAACCAAAGCGTTTACGGAACAAGACCACACAGCACAGAAAGATTGTAGAAATGTTACATTGTAAGATTGCAATATTGCAGCAACGTTGCGCAACATTGCTAAAACGTTTCTGGAGGATTGCAGCAACGTTGAAATGTCCGCCCTCAGAGAGAGTGCAACATTATAGCAATATTTTTGGAATAATTTGTTATTGTTGTACATAAGCAGAGAATTTACTAATTACATATGCATCCGGGCCTTTTTCAATACATAGCAAGCTATTGCAAAGCAACCTAAGGAGATTATGTCGCTTCGCAATAGATAGAGATTGCGAGCAACACCGCACTGATCCAGTACTTAATAATTCGCGCATTATTGGTATCAACGAAAATAACATAATAAAATTCTCGTAATTAGAAACATTTTTAAAATAGAAAATATACTATTTTCATTATTTTTGAAACATTACTGCAATATTGCTATATATCCCTGCAATGTCTCTGCAAGATTGCAACGTTTCTGCAATGTAACTGCAACCATCTGTGCTGTATGGGAGGTGTTTACGTGCTCGAATTCTGGTCTTGTTCAGATAAGAGACGCCAGTTACTGCTACGGGAGCAGCGGCGAGGACGACGACGAAGATGACAGCAGCAACGCTATGCGGCAGCGGGGCGAGGTGAGCGCGGCGGTCAACACCGTGCTCTACGTGGGTCTGGGCACCACCGCGCTCGGCCTGGTAATCTCGTTCGTCGGCACCGGGGAGAAGGGCTTCCTGAGCCCGCAGCTGAGGCTGGTCGGCCCGTCGCTACTGTGCGCCGGTTTGCTGTGCTGCCTGTTCCGCGTGCTGCTGTGCATCTGCCTGTGCCACTGCGGCCAGTGCGGCCGCTGGCGATTCTGTCACGTCGCCGCGCACAAGGAGAAGGCGAGGAAGGCGGACGCGCGACCGGGACCAGGGACGTTGTCGACCGCCTCGCTGTTGCCGCCGTCGACGCAACGGGAGCGAGAGGGTCCGGTCGCGCCCACGAGCCGCTCGGTGTCGCCGGCGACCAAGGGACACGAGCTTCTGCTTTCGCCCGCCCAGTTACCAGAGTGAGGAGGGACAATGTGATCCGCGCGCAATCAGCAACATTTTCTACCGAATGAATTCTACGTACCACACGCCGATTTACTGCCGGTTCACGGCCGACCTACGCGACCCTAGTTTTCTCCGTCGCGGCCTGAACCGCGAGCTCTCTAAAGTAGTCTAAAATGCGTCTTAGAGCTTAAACAATAGAAGAATAAAGGAATCGGCTACGTTTTTACTATCCTTGCTGTGTACTCGAAAGAAAGTGAAGGGAAACAACCACACCAACGCCACGTCGACCACGGCTCTCGTTCGCGAAGTCTCCTGGTTTATTAACGCACACCGCTTACAAGTTGCTTCTTTACAAAGATTAAAGTTAACTTTTAACTTCGTCGCTGACACATCGTCCCTCGATCGGGCCTTACAATGATCGTCATCTTAATGTTAAAAACTTAAAGATACTTTGCTATGCGTATTGCTAAGCGAGAACCGCTCCCCCTTCTTCCTCCGCGCGACTGGATCCGCGCGCGCGCGCGCGCGATCGTCCCCACACAACTCACACAGTGTGTCTCGGAACAAATACGATAAATACTTATATCAATATCACTTTGACTCTCAATGATCAGGAAAGCTGAAACTGCATCTGCTCGTTGGACGCGTAACTGTAGATGACGGACGAGTCGGAAGTGGTGACGCTGGCCGCCGTCGCCGTGATGGCGAACAACTGATCCTCGAACATGCTCGGCGGCTCCGTCTTGCCGTTGCCGGCGGGCGTCCCGGCGCCCGGCGGGTTGTCGCCCTTGGTCGCCTCGCGGTACTTCTGCAGGTACACTTTCAGCGGCTCGACGTAGTTGTCGAAGCCGAGCGTGGTCATGGCAAACAGAATGTCCTCGCCATTGATAGTCTTACGTTTCTCCATGTGACACCGGTCGCTCGCCTCCGACGTGATAAACGAGATGAACTCCGACACGCACTCCTGCACACACTCGCGCGCGTCCTTGGCTATCTTGCCGGCCTCCGGGATGGCCCTCTTCATGATCTTGGCGACGTTCGCTATCGGCAGGAAGCGATCCTGTTCGCGGAGCGGCCCGCCGCCGGTGGAGACCCCGGGGCTCTGTAGGGGGTCCCCCGTGCCGTGATTCGAGTCGTCTGTGTTCTCAGGATCATCTGTCGATGAAGAAACGTTTCTTACCATTTCTACACCGTCTTTATTAGCGCGATCTGGCCCACGGTGACTCGCGAGGGAGCGTACCATGTAAATATTACATTTACCTAACATGTAAATATACCGTCTAAATACAGAGTATCAATCTTTTCAAGCAAGTACACGGAGTCGATGCGTTCCCATGTCGTCGTAGCGCAATTTACGCGAGGCTCTCGAGAGCGCGGATGCTCTATCTCGGCGGATAATAAGTCGTCGGTCGCGTGCGTGGAGCAATTCAGCGACGAGGAGAAACCGAGGCGTAAACAGCTCGTATCCTCGTCCGCTCCGCTTCGGAATCCGACGTGGACGCGGCCGAAAGCCCGGGTATCCCTCGGGTCGTCGCTTTGCCATGCCTGACGTTGACTCTCCCGAGGGAACGCTAACCTACCTTCCATGTCGTCCGACTGCACGCCAATGTAGGAAGTCGCGACGGTGCCACCGCTTAAGAAGGACGAACCCAGGGGACCGTCATCTCCGCTCTCGCCGCTGTTCTCCATCCTCGGTATAATTCGCGCGCGAAGCAGATTGAAGGCGGTTTACGTCTACCCTTTAACCTTTTCCCACCTTTGTTTTTACGCCGCTTGTGAATGCTTGTGAAGCGCGAGAGTCTCTCCTCTCGGCTGTGCGCAGACGCGTATACGCGCGTGCGCAAAGCGAGACAATCGCGAATCGACGCGGCGCGACCAATCGAGTCGCTCACTTTCCGTGAGAGCGAGCGGTTCATTGGCTACGGGTAGAGTCCCTGTATTGTCTTATTGATGAGTTTGTTGGCTCCTGGCTCCACAGTCCGGATCCAATACGGCCACGTCTAACCAATAGTCGTGCTAGAGTCCCTGTAGTAAAGCCTATCACACAATGCGAGGCAACAGGCAACAGGAATAGGGAATAGAATTTTTGACGCGTTGGATTGGTTGAAGGAAAATTTCCTATTGGAAATGGCCTATGAAAAAAATGTTCTAATAAAAGTAATTAATGTAATTACTTGCTCCAACGTATAAAAGTATTAACGCGCGCGTTATTTGTCAACACTGCAAATTTTTCAATGTCACACCGACTTTGCACTAACACACGTACAAAAATCCTGTGATTGGTCATAATTAGAACATGTCGGGTGCGCAGTACGGATCGGCGCGTTGAAACAAAAACGTGGAACAAAAGAGCGAGTGGGCATACTGGTTATACTGTGGCTGTACTACAGTATCGCAGCGACCCTCGTGGCCAAGCAGTGAACTCTATACGTACTGGAATGAGTGATCTATTGTTCTGGCTGTTGCCGAGAGAGAGGTGCGTTTGGGTGAATCCTTGTCTCCTTCTAGTACTACCTGATTGGATAGTCGCATATAAATGACGAGAAGAAGGGCGTCACTTATATGCAATTATCCAATCAGGTAGTACTAGAAGGAGACAATGGTCGCGTTCAGCAGACACAACTGTTGAGTGAGCGCTCAGTATGATTGGTTAATACTTTTAGATCCAGCCAATCATGTTAAGAAATCACTGAGCGCTCACTCAACAGTTGTGTCTGCTGAACGCGGCCAATGGTCGCGTTCAGCAGACACAACTGTTGAGTGAGCGCTCAATGATTTCTGAAGGTGCGTTCGGGGAGCGCGCTTTCAGCGCTAAAAGCGTCTTCTATCTTTGTTCGACGTACAGTGAGTGACGAAGATAGACTGACGTTTTCAGCGCTAATAGCGTCTCCCCGAACGCAGCCTTAATATGATTGGCTGGATCTAAAAGTATTAACCAATCATACTGAGCGCTCACTCAACAGTTGTGTCTGCTGAACACGGCCATTATGTATAGAGTTCACTGCTGTGGCCAAGAGACGAACGATTTTTGGCTTAAAAATTCGACCTACCCCCACCATATGAGTTGCAAGACCTGTATGCAGTGAACTCTATACATACTGGAATGAGTGATCTCTAGTTCTGGCTGTTGCCGAGAGAGGTGCGTTGAGTGAATCCTTGTCTCCTTCTAGTACTACCTGATTGGATAATCGCATATAAATGACGCCCTTCTTCTCGTCATTTATATGCGACTATCCAATCAGGTAGTACTAGAAGGAGACAAGGATTCACCCAAACGCACCTCTCTCTCGGCAACAGCCAGAACAATAGATCACTCATTCCAGTATGTATAGAGTTCACTGCCTGTATGTAAGACCGTGGTCCTAACCTTTCTTTCTCTGGCAGACGTAGTATTAAAATCTTGCAAAAAAAATCTTGGATCGTTTACCAGGAATATATCTTTATTCGTTCATTTTTCGACGAAAATAAACTTTCATGATATAAGAAAATCTGAAAATGCATTGTTTCGGTGATTTCACTCAGATGGCTCCTCCGGTCGTACTGACCTCCGCAATTGAAACGGGCTTTTACAGCTCTCTCTCCGCCTCGCTCGTGTCACTCTGGAGCTGCGCAAAATCCCTCACCACATCGACGACCGACTTGAACTGTGCGGCCGCGATCTTTATTATGCGCTGCAAACAATCCGTCGTCTGCCGATGATAATTCTTCAACGGCAGGCCGGACAACGTCTGCGCGTTCTGCAGAAACGTGTCAGTCTGCCGCTCGTAGCGCCACGAGAGTAACGTCAGCGCGACGGTGAGCAACAAGCTGATGACGAAGAACCACACGATCACGCAGGTGAGAGAGCGGCACAGCCCGGTGCCTGGATCGCCGAGCAGCATGAAAAATCCACAAATAATATTAAAGAGAAAATTTAAGACGAAAACGTCGCGAACGAAAGATCGTCAAGGAGTTGGTTTACCTGTGGATTTGTACGATTTACAGGCGGACGCGTCGTCGGACGACGATCCCGTTAATCTTACGCTATCGTTATTGTCCCGCGAGCACGCCTCGCTCTGCGTCGGAGAGTCGGTCTTACTCCCGTTCGTCTTCTCCATCTCCGTGTTCCTCTTTCTCTTCCTCTTGCCCTCCTTCTTCGCGCCCGCCACCTCCTTGATCGCGTCGCCTGCAACGCCGCGCGGTAATACTATAAGATTATGCGCGATTCAAGCGAGAGAACCGAGGGGCAAGTCGCATTGTGGTGTACAGATTTCAGGCATTACCGGGCATTATTAAGGCCAATGTCCACGATACTAGAACTTGGTCCAAGTTCTTGAATTGAGAAATTTGTAACCAATCAATTTGTAGCTTTTACGGAAAAGCGGCAGTTTTATTGGCTGTACGTTTCTCAGACCAAGGACTTGGACCAAGTTCTAGCATCATGGACATTGGGCTTTAAGCCTTGTGTCCATGATCCAAGAACTGTGTCTAAGTTCTAGTTCCGAGAAATGCGTAGCCAATCACCTTGCAGCTTTTATGGAATAGCTGCAGGTTGATTGGCTACACATTTCTCGAAACTAGAATTTGGACCAAGTTCTTGGATCGTGGACACAAGGCTTTAGGCATGTTTTGGGCATTAGGCCTTGCTGGAGCATTATAAAGATAAGATCAAGTAATGCCTACTGGGCATTAGTAGACATTGGTGTATGCACATGATTTTGACGAGTGGTTTACCCCTCGGACGGGACTAGGCGAGGCGAGCGCACACCTGTAACGCAATTGGATCTACGTAATCTCTCCTCTTCGATGACGAGCTTGACGTTGGACAGATATGTGACGATGTTGCGAGCGCACGCCTGGCACTCGCGCATGTTACTGCACGGTCCCGCAACACTGGCTACCGCCTCGGTCAAGGGATTCTCCTTGAGATCCAGCCACCTGAGGTTTTTCAATTCGCTCAGACTCAGAGGTAATCTGCTGATCTGTAAGTTGCACGCAGATTACACATTAATTTTGCCATCGGGTAATAAAGGGCCGTTTACCTTGTTGGCGTACAAATCCAAATGTCTCAACTGCGTCATCTCGCCAAAATTCTCGGGAAGCTCGACCAACATGTTCCTGCTGAGGTCTAGTACTACAATTTGTTTCAAGGTAACAAAAGTGGTCTGCAAAAGATTCAACGTTTGCAACAGCACGTGAATATCGAGATTACGTAAAAATTTCTAGCGCCGAATCGTACAATAGTCGAGGAATAACGTACCGGCAACGAAACCAAAAGATTGGTTGATAAATTGACATTTGTTGCTTTCCTAAGAGATGCCTGTAACGTAACAACATAATTTGGAAATCACTGCGAAATACTCACATTTTGTAACGATGGCGCATTAATTCCAGGAAAATTCAATACTCATCGAACAAGTAACATCAATATTATAATTTTCTACTCAACAATGTAAATGTAATATAACAATATCGATGTTACGGAACCCAGTGAGAAATGATTCGTCGATCGACGTCGAAACGACGTCGAATCGACATCGACACCGTCGAATTGACGTCGATCGACGAATCATTTCTCACTGGGAAAGGCCCGTGTCCACTAAGAACTTGCAACTTTTATGGAATAGCACACATTTCGCAAAACTAGAACTCGGACCAAGTTCTAGCAGCGTGGACGCAGGCCTTTACGCTTGTCCCACAATTATCTATCAGTGAGTACAATTCCATTGAAAGAATTACATAAAAGCAGGGTTGTGTAGTGTCTAGTTAAAAAGATAAAAGCTAAGTTAAAAGGTTAAATAATTTTAATTTAACTTAGTTACATTATAGCCTGTTAACTTTTAACTGAATGCAGTTGCATTTTATCGGTAACTTTGAACTTTTAATTTACCTTTCTTAAAGTTAGCCGTGCTATAAACAAAGGCATTACAAGACGCCACGCGTCTGCCTACATTGGTAGTTTCTGTGTTCCAAAATGCACTGCCAGCGCTAAAAATCTACAAATAATACACGACAATGACAATGAATTTTGGAACACAGCCATTACATGGGGACCTTGGGGTTTTGATTCTCGAAATTACGTGAAATTGTTCACATGAAATGGGCCATATTTCGTGTATTGTGATTGATTGTCCAAACGCTGGTCGTGAAATTCAACGCAATTTACGTAATCGCGAGTCTCTGAGATTTTATATCAAAATAAGACAAATTTAACTTTTAACTTTTTAATTTCCTTTTATTATTAACTTAACTTTTAATTCCATTAATTTTATTATGGATTAACTTGTATCTTAACCAAGTTAAATTTTCAAGGCTGTTAACTTTAACTTAACTTAGTTAAAAAAGAAAGATAACTTACCCAACCCTGCATAAAAGATATTTTGATATTCCACACAAGTAAAGTTAGCTCCCATAAGTATCCTATTATTATGGTTCGATAAGAGATAGAGAGAGAGAGAGGAAAAATAATGAGGACTCACGATTTCTCGCACAGGCACTTCCTCCAAGTCGCACAAGCTGAGGTCCAGAGTATCCTCCCTCAGCTTGTCCTTCACGTCCTTCAGCTTCAGTTTGACGGTCATGCTCGTCGATTCTCGCGTGGACACTTTCTCACCTGCGATTCACTCTGCAGTTTGGCATACGCAAGCAACTTATTAGGATCGCCGGTGACAAGTGGTTTCTAAAGTCAAATCAGTGTCAGCGAAGCGATAAGAAACCGACTCTTTATGCCCATTTCTATTAATGCAGTTTAATCCCGGTTTAACTTTTTATGTTTTCCCAATTTCTGAAACTAGAAAGATGGACGTCGGTCAATCAACTTAGACCTGGTGTCATCAAACGTCGCTCAACTGTAATCTTAATTTAATTCGTCAATTCGTGTTCGTCTCTTTCTAGAGTAACAGTTGGAAAGAGACAACGAATTAAGCTAAGGCTTAAAGTTAAGCGGCGGTGAAACCGGGCGTTAGATATACGAACCTATTTAAACTACACACTATCTATTTGAGATATACGCTACACATGGGGTCAATCTGACCCCCGCTAGTTTAAACAATTGCTGCAATGATACTATTCATTTTTTGATGTTGTAAAAAATTAGACATGTTATATTAACATTAACAAATAGGATAAACTTGGTCTGAGCCATAAGTAATGATTGCAATAATTTTAAAAAATTAAAATGTAGAAAGAAGCTCAGAAAATGCCGTTTTTTACTTAAAATTCAATAACTTCCATTTTTAATATTTTAACCTAAAAATTTAACTGGATACTCTTGAAACAATGTTCTTTAAGATAAAAAAAATTGCAATAGTGCACATTCCAAAAAAGGTATTTACTTTGACAACCGAAGGTGTGATATTTCGGAAAAATTGAAGGCACATTTTTACTGGTCATTGCAATAAAAATTAATTATATTATTCGTCTTTTGCGTGTAAAATGTTTTTTTTAAACAGAATATATGATAAATAAAGGTTGAATACATTATTTCAATACAGCATCTGGCGTATGCTCCGAGTTCTCAAATTATACACCATCTAAAAGTATTATAATTTATGTTATAACTAATTTTAAAAAAATCACACGGTATCACGAGACACGGTAGTGTCTCGCGCCAAGTGTAAGCGTAGCTAGTTTTAAATTAACACTTACATTTTTCTAGTTGAAATGCAGTAAAATTAAACAAAAAAAATTATGAAAAAAATTTCTCCCAATATTCGTACACTACATGCGGGGTCAGATTGACCCCAGCGTACGTTTTGAAGTGTCTACTTTGAACGGCTGTCACTAGTCAACTAGCACCTTGGGACCCACAACTAATGTAGTCTTAAAAAGGAAGACTTCAACTAACAACAAATGGCGTCAAAGTCCCAACTTGACATTTTATATAGGAGATATTTAAACGTAAACTTTTGTTGGGGTCTCCTGGACCCCGGGTGTAGTTTAAGAGTTAAATCACCGTAAACTTTCAACTCTCACCGTTAGCTCTCTCTCTCTCTCTCGACTACTAGACTGGCTTTGCTCTTCCCTCTTTTCCTCCAGTTCCTTCCATACTGCGCCGAGGTCGTCGATCCTTCCTGGGGCCGCCTTCTCCCGATAAGCTCTCGTCCCTCCTGGTTCAGAATTATCAGCATATAAGTACTGGCGGAACGTAAACGTCAACATACCCTGGCACTTTGTTAATCCCGACTAATAATCCTTACGTAATCAACAGTACGTGAAAAAATAACTTGTAATTACTTCTCCTCCTTTCTCCTCCTGAAAATCTGGCAGCGGACTCTCCGGTTCTCCTCGCTAATAAAATGGCATCCGACTCCAACGTGGGCTTCTCGCGGCCAACGTCATAATCGCGTGTAGCGGTAACAGTCGAGGCGGAGGGCGGAGCGCTCTGGCTGGATCAGCTGGATAACGCCAGTCGTCCGATCCGGCGAATCAGCGTGAGCCGACAGCTCGTCGTCCGGTCAGAGGTAGAAGCCAACAGAAGCTGAGAAGCACTGAGCGGCTGTGCGCTGCGCGACGTGTCAACGAAAGAGCGAGCGAGGAAGGGGGAGAAAAGGAGAGAGAGGGATTTTCCTCGTCGTTAACCTTCCATCGGCTGCTCTCGTCGGACGTCGATCGCCCTCGTTTGACTCGCCCTCGGTCCACGGCGACCTTCAAATCTCCCGTATTTCGATCGAGAGCTGAACAAAGTTCTTCTTCAGCTCTTCCAGAGCATTCCAGGTACTATTCCCTCCCTCGGGAGACCGTCCGCCTGACTGTGCGATCGGAAGCTGTGGGCGCTTCGCTGCTCGGACGTGCACCAGGCGAGGGCGTATTGATTTTCCGATCACGATTTGGCGAATTTTACAGATCACGAGCACTTGGAGCCACAGGCGTTCTCGCGAGACGAGAAAGTAACAAGAGACACATTCCACACGTATTCCGAGATGTCCACGCGGTACATGAAGAAGGTTTACGGCAGCGACGTGACTCTCGGCAAGGGTAACGACGACACGAGCGACCCGGAAGTCTCGATGACCGACAACGCCAGGTCCAAGTGTTTCAACGTATTCGACGTGGTACGTAAGACTCGGCACATTTTATTACCGCCCGGACGACGGCGACGTTGACAGTAAGCTGTGCCCACAGTTGAACCAGAACTCGGACAAGGACGAGGACACCGACGGCAGACAGCAGGACGAGGACGAGGACCCGGCTGCGAACGGCGTGGATTCAAACGACATGAAGCGTAGGAAGCGGAAGAAAAAGCACAGGAGGCCGGAGAACGAGAGAGCGAGGAGCCAGCAGGAACACGATGCCGAGTGCAATGAGAACGTGGACGAGATCGAACGAAGCGTGAAGGAGGTGAACAAGTTGCTTGGCGAGCCATTGCCGGGCTGCAGTAGTCAAGTTATGGAAGCGCAATGGGTCGACCGAGTGTCCAAGGAGAGTGTACTGACTGTACAGCGTAAGCACTTGAATCCGTATAACGAATTGAAGAAGATCTTCGGCACTAAGACTATAGAGGCTGGGCAAAGGTACAATTTTCACATGGATAAGATTGCATGCCGCGATTTACCAGCTCCTGTTGATACAAGTGTTGTATTGTTTTTCTTTTGCAGCAAGAAAAATAAAGGTCGTCCTGGGAATTTAAAGAAGACATGGTTGATTGGCCCGCAAGATAACACTTGGGTGCCAACTACCAAATTTGGACTGTCCATGTCTCCGGATCATTCTATGAAGACTACGGGGAATGTACAGTACTTTATGTATAAACATAGCGTCTTTTACACAGAGCTGCAATATCGGTTCTTGGACGCTGTTGAAAGTCTGAATCCGGAGAACATAATTGTAAGTGAACACGCAGCGTTAGGCTAATGGCAGAGAACGATCCGTATAAAGTGCTTAACACTGCCCTAAGTCGTAGACGTAAGGCGAGGCAGAGAAACACTCGAGTCGTGAAAGTCTCTTAAGTTTTTCTTATACAAGAAACTTTCACGACTTGAGTTTTTCTCTGCCTTGCCTTACGTCTACGACTTAGGACAGTGTTAAGCGCTTACGGGTCGTCCTCTGCCATCAGCCTTAGCAATATTGGAGCCGGTATTCATAGTCAGATCTTATATTTAAGACTGTCTTAAGATCGCCTTTAGGTACTCCGTAGTTAAGGTGGTTGGTGCTCAAATAAAAATGAGTTCAAATTTATAAAAAATATATATATATTAAAATGATAATATATATACATATACAATATATAAATATATATAATAAATAAAAATACATATATGTAAAAAATGATAACAATTTTATAAAAATAAGTGCAAATAATTCTATACATATATACGAAGAATTTTGAAGAATACTGAAATGACTTGTCTACGTAGTTATCAAGAACATATATGTATATATACAGGGTGCCAAGGTTATATGAATATTACTATGTTATGTTCCCTCTGAAACCCTACAACTTTTGTAGGAAACATTTCTTTCTAAAATGCATTGTTTACGAAATATTCCACCTGTTACGTCTGAAATTTAACACTCTGTATGTAGATATATATATACATTATCAAAATTTTTCGTAAATATGTATAGAATTATTTGCACTTATTTTTATAAAATTCTTATAATTTTTAACATGCTTTCGAGAATTAAATTACAGATATCGTAATACTTTGCTATGTTGGCCATGTGTAATAGTATAACTTTAATAATTAATTATTCGACAACCATGCAGACAATCGTCTTAGACTTTTGCATGAAGGACAGATTCCCATAGACGAATATTTTCTATAAATTTGAATTAATTTTTATCATCTTCATTTCAGCAACCATCCTCCTTAATTGAATGTGCCATACAGCATCCTTAGATAAATTCAAGACCGTCTTAGGGTTAGAGCACAAGGCAATGTAATAGCTTACGTCAATGACAATCTTTGGCATAAATGTAATCGGAGATAAGTACGACATACGCTGAAGCGTTTACGCTTACGTCTTTGTCGTAAACTATTACGTTGGGCTTGTGCTCTGACTCTTAAGATCATCGGCGTAGCTAATGAAATGTTCCATACGGCATCTTTAGATAAATTCAAGACGGTCCTGAATATAAGATCCGACTATGAATACCGATCTAGATCTTTGCGCTTTGCAATTCTGGCGTACCTTCAATTATTTTATCACTTACATCTATTTGGTATATAAATGTTAATACAAGTTCTTATGTTTCAGAATATAGTAAACACTCATTCTTACCATATAGATTCCCTCCTGCAAATATCTGAAATATGTAAAATGAACGACGACTTGGCATATGCAGCGGAGTTTATTAAACGGGCTGTGTACTGCTTGGAGTGTGCGTTTCATCCGTTCTTTAATATATCGTCCGCGCAATGCAGATTGGACTACAGGAAGCAACAGAATCGCGCGCTTTTTATAACACTTTTTAAGCATCTTGGATTTGTCGGCGGACGTGCTTGTTATAGGTAAATACCCGCGAGGCAGGTCGAGCGGAAAAAAGAAATGAGAATTCGCGTTAATTCCCGTGAAAAATTTCAGAACGAGCTTGGAACTTTGTAAATTAGTTTTGTCACTGGATCCCGAGGACGATCCGTTAGCGGTGGTCTTGGCCATCGACTTCTACGCCTTGAAAGCCAAAGAGTACGAATGGTTCGTGAAATTTTGCAATCTGTGGGAAGAATCGAGAAATTTAACTCAATTGCCAAACATCGCGTACAGCCTGGCACTGGCTCATTTTCGTCTGGGAAACAAATCCGACGCCGATACGCTCCTGCAAAACGCTCTCATCATGTTTCCGGGTGTATTGATGATCTTGTTGGAGAAATGTAGCATTCAAACAGATGCGAAGGTACTGCGGATTTAAAGATTTTGCCCAGATGCCACATTTCTTGGGAATCCGTTGTTTCAGAGCACACCGAGTGTTCGGAAAAAAATCCTACTTATGTTTAATCGGATATTTCATTCTTTAGATAATGTGCCACGATTTCTTCACCTCTAAAGCAGAAGTCAGCACATCGCCAGCTCTAGGGAAGCTGCAAAAGTTGTATGTAGTCCGTAGCTTCTATCTCTGGAAGGAGGCAGATATTTTACCGTGGTTGGAGGAAAGTGTGCACGCTGTGCTAAACCGTATCGAGTCTAAGGACGATTATATCAAGTACTGTCAAGTGAAGCGTAGCAAACGCTACCGCGGAAAGCTGCCAAGAAACATTTTGAGGCACATTGTATTATCAGATTTGCCGGATGTTACAGTTAATGGCCAAGAGGTAATTTCTCGCACTTTGCACTATTGTGTGGAGAAACACATGCGTTAAAACTTTATTAAAGCTTGTATATTATATCAGATTCAGGGCGAAGACCCAATGCTGGCGCACGATCCATTGCCGCCACTAGACAGTATCGATCTTTATGAAAGGCCTAGGGCAAACGACAGGCCAGCTGAAAGCAGTTCCAACTTCTTTTCCCTCTTTTTCTCTTCGCTTTTCACGGATGTCAATGGCGCAACTGCTGCTTTAAATGATTTAAATCTATTGTAAGTACAGAAGTAAGAAAAAAGAAACATTGACGGGACGTAATGTCCTGATTATCCAATTCATTCAATTTCACTTAAATTACTCAAAATAAATGATCGATTACGGGCTGTTAAGTATAAATTAAATTTTCATACGCTATTAAAAACATCAATGATATTAATTGCAATATTTGTTTGTCTAGTGAGGAGAACGATGACCACGCATAATAACAGCTTTCCCTAATCATATGAAACTTAACAACGCTAAAAGAAGAAAGAAATCTACACAAATTGTGCAATTTTAAGTAATACACATATATCGTTTTAAATAGTACATGTAAAAATGCAGAAAAGTAGTCGGTACATACGATAATCCAATACAAAGATAATTTCGGAGTCATTTGATTTCGTTTATAAAGAAATTTTATATATAAAAATTGCAATTTTGTTAGAATTTCTGCTCAATGTAAAAATGCTTCTGAATATAGCACGTAGTATTGCAGTATTATGCATCGCTGCATTAAACAACAGACAATTGTTATAACATCATAAATCCGTTATTGTATATGCATTTTTTTTAAACTTGTAAATATGATAAATATACCTATACTGCAGTAAATATACATAGTAAAGTCTATGGAAATGCGCCTCGTAGACAGTGTATACAGATATATACGCGTATACAGCATGAACGATGATCGATGAGATCCCAAGAACGGGAGTAAACGTAAATTATCGTTAAACATACGTTTCATAATCTACAATCATAAATTCGAGTTACGTACTCAAACATGCCGACATGATTTTGTAACAAGTACAAACAAGTCGGAATCTTTGAATTACTTTTAATTGCATTTTAGCACCAAGTTAGAAGGAAAAGAAAAGAAGTAGATTACCCGAGTCCTCGCACTCGTAAAATGACAATACTCTTGGAAATGATTTCGCTCGCCGTGTGCTCTCGTTCCAATTTATTTCTTAAACCATACTGTGAAATACGGGATTGTAGCGACAAATTCCAGGACCGTACTCTTGGTATGCCTTCTTCGTGTGACAAACCGTGTAGAATTCTGGATCGCTGGCCAGTAATGCGCCACCGTACCACACCGCGCAACGTTGCTTGTGATGCGATATCACGCGGACGTCTATTGGTTTCGGCTAGAATGACACAAGCAGAATTAAAATTGTAAAGCAAGCGCGGGGTGTTACTGCCGCTCGTATACGAATTGCAAATTATCGCGATGTCTACCGTAATGTGACTGCCGCTCAGCGTCTCGCTGAGCTTGAGCCGCGTGTCAACGATCTTCTTGATGTCGCGCTGCAACCGTCTGCCAAAGTCTTTAAACATGGTGGAGCCACCCGATAATACGATATTACTGTACAATGGTCTCCTGACGTCGATTGGGCAGTTTTGAATCACATCGTCCACTATTTCATTGAGCGGCGTCGTAAAGTCCGGATTGGAGAACTGAAGCATTCATACATGTATAGAGAAACTGTCGATTATGTAAGTTAGCAGTCACACGCGCGGGCTAATCGTTCACCTCAGGATGGAAGAATATCTCCGGTCCAAGGAACCTCTCGTATCCGACGTCCACCACGAAAGGTTGCTTGGTGATATTGTTAACACCTTCGTACTTTTTAATTTTCGTCGGGTCGCTGTCGTACTTGGCGAATTCCTTGGATATATCCGGGCATATGTAACAGTATTTCTCTTTGATCGACTTGGCCGTTTCTAACGACTGCTCGGGCGGTATCCCAATCTCCCGCTCCCTCAGCAGACTTTGTATAAAATAGGTGATATCGCGACCAGCGATAGGAATGTGCTTTATACAACTTCCTATGACGAAACCCTCCGCCTGCAAAAACCCACCGACTGTCAGACACGAAACGATCTCCAATGGGTTTTCCTGTAACGTACCACTGGAATTACGTGAGTCACGCCGTCTCCGCTATCAACAACGACGCCCGTTAAAGTGCGGTCCTCTACGTTCTTGGCTGTCCACGAGGCTGCTAAGGCAAGAACAGCTTGCACAGCTATGTAAAGTCCCGGTACGTTGAACGACTCGAACATAATTTCCGCGGTATACTCGCGGTTTTCCGGGGTGTTCAAGGGTGGCTCTGTTAAGAGGAAGTAATGATCCTCGGGCTCCGACCTGAGGTATTTGAAAATGCATTGTTGTAAAAACTTCTCCATCAAGTCCCAGTCCTCCACCAGTCCGTGCCTCACTGGATACTGCAAGTTGCGGCAAGAAAAAGTGCAATTGATCAGGAACAAATCGTCGGGAGAGAGGAAAATGAGTATTGCCTCGAGCGAACGGCTCGCGAGCGAGTACCTTGACAGAGTATCCAGTGGCCTCGAAGGCCTCGTCCCCGATGTAGGCGTCCAGGTCCTCCACGCCCTTGGTAATTCTCCTGGCATTATTGTCGCCGACCTTGGCAGTCTCCTTGATGGCGATCGCCGACGGTATCGTCAGCTGGGGCTCCTTGTTCCCGGCGAATCCCAGTTTCGTGTAGCTGCGAGATAACGGCGCCGATTAGACAGATAAGCGAGCGCGTGTCGATAGCGCGTGGGCGGCGGATATTTCTACGCGCGTCGATACGACCTGTCTTCTCCACATTTAACGCGTGAATCACCACGAGGGGCGAGGGGCGAGGGGGTCGCGGGCCCGCGGTGGGCTCGGCCGAGGTGCGTGTCATCGGGATGACAGATCGGCCGGGTACTCTAACCTAAACCCGAGTCCGCCCTCCGCAGATCGATCCGTTCCGGGACGGTGCTTACCCCGTGCCCACATCGATGACGCACGCAGGGAGACGTCCGAGCATGATTCCGACACCACCGCGTTCGTTTCTTGTCCCAACAAAACGCACACCCGCGACGACGACGACGGCCGCGGCTAACCAACTCGCACCAAACAGAACCGCCGGGAAGCGATATCACCGACGATTACCACGCCTCTCGTTTGCTCTCGTTCGCCAGCGCACGCCAGCGACACCCCGTAGTCCCCGTACGCGGCCCGAACCAGAGATGCGCGAACTAGAGAGAAACCTAAAGCCCGTATCAGACTACGGATTGGGATTGGGATTAGATTGAAATTAAGGCCCGTTCCCACAGTGGCTAGTTAGCTTAACCAGTTGTTAAGTAGTGATACCAACCACTGACACAAAATTCGGTAAGCTATTTACAAGGTTATATATATGTAATATATATACACTATATGTTGTATATATACATCAATTTATCAATCACAAATATATCAATATATATGTATATGTTTTTTAAACTTATTTGCGAAAATGCGACTTGTCAAAATCTAACCTTGTAAATATCTTACCGAATTTTGTGTCAGTGGTTGGTATCACTACTTAACAACTGGTTAAGCTAACTAGCCACTGTGGGAACGGGCCTTAACCAATCACAGTAAAGTTTACTAATCTCAAGTTCAGTAACTTTTAGGGTGCTTTCACATGGAGCATAAATTGCGTAGCGTAACCTGCGTATCACCAATCACAGGATCATACTGATAGAACCGTTTCAATAATTTCGTTGAACTAGTCCTGTGATTGACTGCTGTTCCACCGAGGGTCAGAGTCGGGCTAGAGTCGGGTCAGAGTCGGGTTGGGGTGAGCGCATGGACCTAAGAATCTCTGGACCGAGCATACGGCGAGGGGGCTGTTAAATTTGCGGTAAGGGGGGCGAGAGTGCTCTCCTTTTCTGTCCTCTTGGTATCTCTTTCTACAAGAGGTCACAGTGACCTCTTGTAGAGGCTCTCTGACCTCTTGTAGAAAGAGATACCATGAGATACCAAGAGGACAGAAAA